ATCATATCATGAAATCAGAGCTAATTCCGAGTACGATGGTACGAAATTAAACGTCTACTTATCCAGAATCCACACCGACATATCAAACATACATACAACCAGCATGCAAATAGTCGCCACATGACTCCAAGACATCTGACACCCCCCTACCTATGGACGGACCTCGTAAAATCAGCACATTTCCTGGAGCTACCGTTTAATGACCTCGATGACAACGTATCTAAACCTTACCACACTAACGGGGGCTACATAACCGTTAAAACAACAACGGACTTGGCCTTCTGTGGTTTTAGTACTAATTTCTAAAACACTACTTTCTAAACATAAAAATTCGCCTCGGAGAACGTGCCGTGAGTCAATTGAAGGCAATGAAAGTCATTCGTGGAAGGCCTTAGACCATCTTCAGCCGAGATTTATAACAAGTTTGTACTTGTATTCACTCAATTGATTTTTTCGAAGACGATGATAAAGATTTTTTATCAAAATACTTGAAAATATATTTAGTACATTTTTTCAAATCTGGTAGGATTTGATCACAATGTATTTATATTATTCAATTCAGAAATAGAAACTCCAGTTATGTCTCAGAAATTACATGTTCTCCGCAGAACCCTCATTAAAGCGGCAGTCTACAATTGATGTCTAAAAAACTTGCTAGTTTTAAGTTAACCGTTATAACAAGCCACATTTCAAACATCACATCAACAAAGCGCCAGTTGAACGTCCTTATAATCGCATCATTTGCACCAATTACTTACAACTCTCACACACATGGAACGCATCAGCAGCGATAAAGCAACGTTTGTATCATCCGCTCCGTTATGCAAGTGCTCGTTGCCGTAATTTCACCTAATATTCAATGGCATTTTAATCGTATTCCCCCAGTTGCATTAGCGCCTAATTTTAGGCTCTACCATTAGTGTACATTTCAGCATACACAGACGTAACTTTGATCGTGTATGCATGTATGTGTGTTTTTGATGGCACTGCGCTCACGAGCAGGCGGCGCTCTTCAGAAGTGAGAATAATAATTCAATTAATGAAATTGGTTGATAAATTTACGCTGGCGCTTAATGGCGTTGCAATGCAGCAAAGTGGCTGCCTATAATCAGTCCCGGCTGGTTGGAAGCAAGCATAATTTCATATTATATTATATATAGGTATGTAGGTACATATTTGGGCTGCAGTTTAGTCGAATGCGATTTTATCACAAAGTTATTGGCTTGTTTTTGCAAATACTTGTTAAGTTTGCCATTTTTGTTTATACTTGTGCTTAAGTATGTATGTATATGAACTCGCTACTGTTGTTGTTGTTGTTCTAGGAGCAGCAAAAAACATTCCTGCAGTTCGAGGCATAGTGCCGAGTTGACAGTCCCTGGTCGGTTAAAAATTCGGGTATGTTCCGGTTAGTTGGACCACACTGGCATGGGAACGGTGCTCATAGTATGTATGTATGTACATATATGTATGTATAAGTAGTCTTCTAACAGCTCTTATCGCCTAACTGTAATCTAATAATTTCAGAAAGTCAATAGATAGTCATATTCTTAAAGTAATATGCATAACACGTCATCATGACTTTTTCAACATATATGTAATATAAACAAAGGCGAAAAATATTCCACTGATCTGTTCAACCCTCTACGTCCAACCCCACCACAGTCGGGGTAAGTAACCGGCACATACCCGGATTTTTATCCGGTCATATGCTCGGAAGCATTAGTGTTATTTTTTCATCTACAACACCAACAACCACCTGATATTAAATATACAGAGCTCATACTATATCGTGGGATATTTATTTTGCTACAACATATGGAATTGCTTATACTACATATGTATGTATGTTTGCTTTACAGTATTACAGCATTATAATTTAAATATTATTTACAAAATATAAGGAAGAACAAAAATGAGTACATTTAAAAACCAGTAATTGCATTTCAAGTGATACGTGCGAATGTACGTAGGTGTGTATGTATGTACTATATGTAAATAATTTATTTTTAAGCAAAATTAAAATATCTTCTTCACAGTAGAACGTTTAGTCGAGCCTTCTACACAATCTTATGTAATTATTATTTTACTTAACGAAATGCCTTGCCAATACCACATGTAATATGTATATATATTTCAACCAGTCAAAGATACCATCAATAGTTGCAGATTTGCAAATATTATATAAACTTTCCTACAAATAATATATATGTATATATTTTTAAATCCTTTTCAATACGCTTTAAATAGACGGGGGAAAGCTGTTCAATAAAACAGTTTAGCAGCTATTTTAAGCTTTTAACACATTTATTCTTCATCATCGGTCAGCTCCAGAAATTGTGTACAAACATCGCGACTGCACTCGCCCTTATTGTTGAATATAAATTTATAATAATGACCATCGGCGCAAATAGCTGCAATTATTAAAATGACAAAAACAAAGATATATATAATAATTACAACACTAATAATTAATATTATTATGGCACGCACCTATAACAGAGTTAGGATCAGCGCCGAATGCGCAGATACAGGCYGGGCCTTGCGGTATAGAGAACTTAACGAAGCTCCACTGGCTAGAGAAATATTTTGGTATCATGGGAAATGCAGCTTCTTTTGGTTTGTTGTCATCTAAATTGAAGACATGTATGGTGCCATGATCCGAGGACACCACCAGCATAGTGGATTGGTGATTAAAGTTAATGCAGTAAATATTTGCCTGCAGGTAGAAAAAAAGTTTTATTTACCAACACAAAATGGATGCTGACAAAATCACTCTTACCTGATTACTACCGCGCCGCAATTCGCAAAGTTTTTTGCCATTTTCTGTATCGAAAATACGTATTAAAGTGCCTTTTTCGCTTGCGGTGGCCAAACGTGTGCCTTGCAAGTTTAAGGCTATGCAACTAATGGACGCTTCGTGCGCGACAATTTCCAGCGGAGCACGCTCTGTATTTGCCAAATCGACTATCTGGACGTGGCCGGTRCGTCGCCCTGGAAAGGCTAGCAGACTTTTGTTGCTATGTGGACACAACACGCACAATCCATGCGGATTCGCACTGGTCTCAAAAACATGCAACTGCTGTGGTTGTTGTGTGAATGTAAACACCTTTATCACACCTTCTAATACTACAACAATGCGATCGCGTCGCAAACGCACTGCTTTAACAGGCTGATTAAAGTCTATAGATATTGCTGGTGCCTTTTTCAAATCATCCCAAACGATTACTTTGTTTGGGGGATACAAAGGTCTGATGCCTCCGCCAACAAGCGCCAAATAATTACATCGGAATAACATTTCAACGTGGCATAGTCCGCCCTCAGGAAAATATTGACGTTCTTTTTCCTTTAATGGATCGCAATTGTAAACACGGAAACCAGTGTCCGTTGCGCACGCAAAACATCCTGAAACTCRCAGTAATCGTTGATAATAATTTGTATTTTGTAAGTGATCGTGCATATTCACCTTGATCTTGATTAAATCCAACATATAACAAGCCATTTCCGTATGGATGTTTCTCCACTAAATTCATCGTGTTTGATGTTGGTGCTTATTTTTACTTAACGAGTTTTCTCGTCACCGATGATAATAATTTAGCCACACACTGCTTTTATTCGTTTTATACACTTTACTTTCGCTTTATTTGTAAACTTTRGTATTTTTTAAACAAATTAAAGAGATAGTTATTTAAGCACTGCCCGAAAGATAATGAAATATTTTCATCTCAGAAAAAAAAAAATTGTTTTTCATGCCTTTCCTTTTGTCTTCATCGGAAATCTTTAGCAGACCAGGCACTGCCAGAGCATAACACTTATCGATCAGCTGAGTAAGCATTACTAAAAACTCTACAATTATCGATAAGTTTCTGTTGAATTTCACATTGTCGACAGATTTTATTTGTGTATAAGTGTTTCAAAATTTACTAATATTGCAGACAATATCAAATATTTTGTTTAATTGTTTCAAAACATATTAAAATTGCAGATAATATCAAAGCTTGACATTTTACAACAATTGAATATGAAACCTTTTGTTGCTTAATGACTAATATTATTTAGCACTAGCATTGCAATTTTATACATTTATTTGGATATTTATTTCCTGAATAACAGTTGTAATCATTGTATGCTAATATGTTGTTTTAATAAATTTTATATGAATATTAAAACATGTACCAACTACTGCCGATAAGAAAACAACTAAACACGGTACAGAATGGCCACATTGGCGAACGCAAATTCAATTGGTAGCATTGGAAGAAAAGAAGTTGCAACTCTGAAATTTTTCCTTTTGGCTTGCTGTGCTGTTGGCTTTTTCGGTTTAAATAATTTTATTAATTGCTTCAATTTAAGTTAATAAAATGTAAATCCAATAACTTAAAAGTATTATTAACATATTGCGCAAAGATTTGAATAATTTCGGTTCGGTTTTAATGATTTCTGTGGATTTTATTTGCGTCCTTCATGGTAGAAACAACCTGTGAAACTTGTTTTTGTTGTTGTGTTCGATAATTGAGAAGAAAAGTCTCGGTCGTGTTCTTGTATGGTGAGGAGTGGCTGAATTTGTGGAGAAGTTAAAAAGTGACATAAACGTCAAAACAGCGGCAAAAAGTGCTTAGAAAATTTGTGATTGGGTATTGGGGAGATCGCAAGCGAAGTCCAAAAAGACAAAACTGATACCCAAAAAACAGTAAGAACAGGATCAGTAGGTTTGTGCCGACAACGTACAAGTTTAGCTAAACCACAGACTCGAAACTATTGTGGGGCGGTGGCGGCGGTGCAGTTGTTGCGTTTCGGCAAGCTACAAGTTGCTGCATCAACTCTTGCTTGACGTCAGCTTAAAGTAAGACAGAATTAGGATACGAAGTGGGAAAATTTATAGCAACGACAGTACCGATTGGACACATTCAAACGTTGATGAAGTAGTTGAGACGCGTGCTGAAGAAAGGTGTCGAAAGTGGTCTGGCGAATGCTTGTATTCATGTAAATTTTGCTAGAGGGAAATGTTGCGCTTTTTAAGTCGTCGAAAGGTGCGTAGCAACTATGTGGAAAGCAGAGGTGGCGTTGCCGGTGGTCCCGGCGGAGCTGGTGTTACAAATGCAAACAGTAGTGGCGGCACACAAATTAAGGCGCAGCGCATGCCAGTCAACAAAAATAAAATTGAGTGTCGTGTAGTGCTTTTAGACAATACAGATCTCTCTATCGAACTATCAGTAAGTACGAATGCAAAGCTATATATTTCAAATATCATTAAATACTTACAAAACAAATATATAAATTGAAATAAGATAGCGCTAGAACAAAAAAGAGAAAGTGCATAAACCTGTCATTTCATTAATTAAATTATGCAGTTGGGTGCACTAGGCATTCCATTAGATTTAATTCACTGTTTCAGTAATTTAGTTCGATATATTCTCTATTTTAATGTTCTAGGTAATGTGCACATGTACGTAAAGAGCACCTTATAGTTAAAATGTAAATAGTCATGTGTAAAATTTAATACATTGTAGACACAGCACCGTAATTAGAAATTCGTTAACCTTTCAAACTGCAAAACCCATTCAATTATCTCAACTATTTTTTTTTTTATTATGTTACAAATTTACGAGTGTTGTCGCAGCCCACTGAAATTGTGGAGGTATAATGACTGTTTTATGGTTTTGCTCTACCACTTAGTTTTAAACATCAGCAGCTTAGTAATGTTTTATTTTTCATAGCCTGATCAGGGTATATTAAATTCACAATTTCGTTGTTAACAATATGAAAAACGTCGGAGATCTACATAATATATTTACATACATATGTATTATCAGCATGACAAGCTGAGTTAATTTAGCTATATCCGTCTGTCTGTCATACGCGAGCTAAATCCGCAGTTATTGAAATATCGATCTGAAGATTTGTTGACTTCCCAAGAAGTTGATCATTAATCGGAACCGTTTATATAAATATTTTTTTTTCAAAGGTTGTTATAGCTTCAGTGCAACCAACATTTTTTTTGTTTTTTGTTTTTATATTTCTTCTACCAATAATAATTGAACGTCAGCAGTCAGTGCATAAATTTTATTTTTCAAAATATTTAAAATATATTTATTATTATTATTATTTCATTTTATAGAAAAAGKCACTCGGCAGCTTCTTATACGAACAAGTCTTCTATGCATTAGACGTAATCGAAAAAGATTATTTCGGTTTGCAGTTTACTGATGCGAACCATGTTAAGCACTGGCTGGATCCTACAAAACCTATAAAGAAGCAAGTAAAGAGTAAGTAAATGCTTAAACTGTAAATCAACACAATAATGATGGAGTATTCTTCTAGTCGGACCACCATACACCTTTCGTATGAAAGTTAAGTTCTATTCGTCGGAGCCAAACACCTTACGCGAGGAGCTGACACGCTACCTATTCTTCCTACAATTGAAACAAGATCTACTAGAAGGTCGCTTAGATTGTCCCGATGACAAAGCTGCTGAATTGTGTGCGCTCGCATTGCAATGTACTACTTGATAATATGTTCCCGAAATCCTTTCTAACTGTAATTTATATATTTACAGCTGAGCTTGGTGATTACGATGAGCAAGTGCACACAGCGGCCACAGTTTCGGAATTCCGCTTTGTGCCGGAACAAACTGAGGATCTCGAAATTGCCATATTGGATGAGTATAAGACATGTCGCGGTCTGACGCCTGCGCAAGCAGAAACTGCCTACTTAAATAAAGCGAAATGGTTGGATATGTATGGCGTTGATATGCACACAGTCTTGGTAAATATTTACAGCAGAAAATTATGTGGAAACATATTCAATAATAATAAGTGCTACTCATATATTACAGGGCAAAGACGGTTGCGAGTATCATTTAGGTCTAACACCAACTGGCATTTTGGTTTTTGAGCGTGATCAAAAAATCGGCTTATTCTTTTGGCCGAAAATCAGTAAATTGGATTTTAAAAAGAAGAAACTCACGCTAATCGTCATCGAAGATGATGATGAAGGACGCGAGCAGGAACACACCTTCGTCTTTCGCTTATATAACGAGAAAGCATGCAAACATTTGTGGAAGTGTGCTGTAGAGCATCATACATTCTTCCGTTTGCGAGCGCCGGTCAAAGGGCCTTCGGCACGTCAAAACTTCTTCCGTATGGGTTCACGTTTCCGCTACTCTGGGCGCACAGAGTTTCAAACGACACAGCAAAGTCGTGCTCGACGCACTGTACAATTTGAACGTCGTCCGTCACAACGTTTCGCCAGCCGTCAATCGCATCTGCTGCGTGATCATCAAAAAGCTTCACAAGAAGCGGCCGCCTCAGCTGTAGCCGCGGTAAATGCACGTGCCGCAGCAGCAGCCGCCGCCGCAGTTGAACCGGCTAACACTACACTCGACTCGTTACTCACGATTACGTCGACAGTCGAGTCGCAACTGTCTAATGTGGCTACACCCTCGCCATCCATACAAACAGTTATTTACAATGCCAATACAGATTTGCTCAATAATACGGCAACAAGCAGTGCAGCTGCGGCGCGTATCGGTAGTGGTGGCGTGCGTCGTAATTCCATGCGTTCGGATTCAAGTGGCGAAGAAAGCGGTTACACGAAACTCGATTGTTACAATAAGGAAGCTTTGGCAGTGAAGTAAGTTTCTTTAACGTTTTTTTGTTTGTTTTGTAAAGTAGTACCACATATGTATATATTCCCTGTAGGCTTGACACTGATTCCATTGGTGCAACCAGTAGCGTATATCCACCGACTACAACGAAAAATGCCGATGATACTAATCCGTTTAGAAACAATGCCTCCTCGCATCATGGCTCTTTCGGCAAAGCGTCCATCAGCTCCGGCTTCAGGTGAATTGTGAAAACTGGTTTCAAAAATTTCTTGATTTAATGTGCAGTTATACGTGTATCGCCTAGTATTTGTTATTTAAAACAAAACTCTTACTTCCAGTCCGCTTTTATTTCAATATTTCACTTTCTCGCACTATCATAACTATTTCTTGGCTGTGACAATTATTTACTTCTATGTACTATATTTATTTCTCTCTGTCTATTTCTTTTTTACGACTTTTAGCTATTTAACTTTTCTTTTGTAGTTAAATGTTTATATATATATTTATATGTACTAATTTTACATCTGTCTCGTTGTGCAGCATTAGAAGTGCCTTATCGGACAAAGATAAAGAGCTAGATTCATTACTTAAGTCCATTGTTAAAGATCCATCCCCATCTATACTAGCAACTGAAGCTATTAATGATGCTAACAGTATCAGGTAGAGCAAAATTCGCATTAATTATTCGCTTTCTTTAACCAGCTCAGCCTTGTTAATTTTAATATTTACTAATTAACTTCCTTTTTAATTACTACACAGGGTAACGATAAATAAAACCTTCGATATGGAACATAACACCGAGACATTGAAGCGTCTTTCCAGCTCAGATAAGCCGAATAATCAAGTGAAGCTGGCAAATGTCGGCGGTGGCGCACTGCCGCCCGGACATATAAAATGCAATATTTTGAAAGGTAAGTGAAGTTTATACGTTCGGTGCACCGGCAATAGCCTTTACAAATAAAAAAAGTTTCGATGCCAAAAATTGATTTTGATGAGTTAGTTTGTATGGCAGCTATATGCCATATTGTGATCCGATGTGAACATACATTCACTTCGTTGCAAACTTATTATACCCTGTTCAGCATTATAAATTAAGACTTATGAGCATATTATGCCGTTATAATTTAAATCCTTATATTGCAGCGCGCGTCGAAGAGGAGCTTGGCACTGGTGTGCATTCCAATGCCAACACGAATGCGAAAATGACAAATCAAATGTTTGTGCCCGCGCCAAGCACAGTGCCACACAACAACAGCAATAGCATCTTCAGCAGTATTAATACGAACAACAACAATACGATGTATAGTAGTGACGGCCCAGACTCATTAAACGCCACGTACATTTCTGTGGTGAGTAAAATTACATTTTTATTGGGACTGCTTTAAGCATATTCACGAACTGTTGGCTAGTTGCACACAAAGTTAACTTATGCACATACTTATATATATACATATGATTCATTGTTTCCAACCATTCATAATTTATTAAATTTATCTCACGCTTTGTGTTTTTTCCCCCACCTATTTTCGTTAATATGTTTTGTGTTTATGTCTACTTTTGTGTTACCACTTTTTTTGTTTTGTTTTGTTTTGTGTTGCGCGCTTAGGGCGGTGATAAACTAACTTTGAGCATAACGGAACAAAAACCAACTAGCAGCACCGCAATCACTGTGGGCAGTGGCAATACAGAGGCGAATGCCTCGAACACCTACTTTGCCGAGGCGACTGTTTTGCCATCGCCCACAACACCATCGGCGCGAAAGATAACCGCTTCCAAAACGACAATTTCGCCATTTTCCAATGCCACTTTCATATCCGAATTCAATAGCATGAGCCCCAACGCATCGTCGTCGTCGTCTTACAATAATACGCATGCAAGCACAGTTTTCACCACAACAACAGCAAATCCTACCAGCGCCAACGAAACATTCACAATTCGCAAAGGCAATGCCACAACAACGACAGGTGATAATTTGTTGTTGACACCCACTACGCCAACAGCAAATATTGCCACCATAACCACGCCACCACCAACACCTACACACACATTCAGCGCCACAGCTGCGAGCAATGCTTCCGCTGCGGAGCGTTTAATTAACGAGATTTTCATCAATAACATAATAAATAATAATGTGCGTGCCACGAATGAGAAGAAGTCTGCCAGCAGCACGCTTATTGGTAAGAGTAACGAAACGGAATTGGTCAACTTCGATGGTAGCAACATATCGCCGACCAAACCGTCCGCTGGCACAACACTATTCTCCACGTTGCGCGAGCAAGAACGCCAGCAGCAACATGTAAACGATGTGACTAACGAACAGGAGCGCTGTGAAACTGATGCGCAAATGCTAATGCAAAAAGAAATTGACAATAAGGTTTGCATTTGTTTACTTCATACGTCATTGGTAATAGGGTGTTGGGTTGTTGCGTTGTTGCATGCCGAAAACATATTATGTTAATGGTTTTTATTTATTTTTGTTTTTTGTATTTTTTGTTGTCACCTAACAATTTTTTATTACATATTTTATTAGTATTAAATGGTTTAAAAATTATTTTAATTTATTACAAAAAAAAATTATTT